GTTACGTTAGTTCTGTGCCACAAGTACATTTTGCCCACATTTTTCCAAAGACTGTAAGAGCAATGCCCCGGCATTCTTGAAGGAAAGCTGATATTCCTCAATTTTCCAAAAAGTAGATGTAAAGTATCATCACAGACTCCAAACATAAAAGCATTACATGACACGCATACCACTGAGCTCGAGCAGATGGCTTGTTTCCTCCTGAGGTGGTCTTGGTAAAAAGGAGGAGAGCAGACCTACCTGAATGCTATAAAAAAAAATAATAATAATCAATCACAAAAACATACATTCAAAGCACAAACGAGTGCTGGCAAAGGCCCTTCAGACCTCTTGCTTCAAGACATATGCCAACAGCCTATATGAAATAAGGTGAAAGTCTTCTACAGGGCAAGGATATTCCCCAGCTGCTGGGTTTCTTGCACCTTTCTCTAAGGCAGCAGACCCCGCTGTCACTGTCAGAAAGGATGATGACCCAGATATAAACGGGTGGCCCAAACCATTCTAGCAGCACCTGCCCTCCTAACCGTTAAAACTCCTTTTGCACTAACATTTCGTATACTATTTCTTAAAGACAGAAGCTACACTGTGTCCAAATGATCTGATTTCAGAGTACACTATATTAGAATTAGGTCAATAAGAGGAAAGTGGGAGGAGGTGGGCACCTCCCAAAATGAAGTGCTAGTGTCTACCCAGAATGCCTTCACAATCCTAAGAGTGCCTGAAAGGAAACACCATCAACCCAGAAGGATTTGAGACAGTCAAGTTGTAAAGGTGCCACAGTAAAAATAAAACTAACCCAAACTAAAATCGTTTCTTCTCTTCCTGCTAATTTTAAAATGGATGAGTTGTATCTAGGACCCATTTTCTGTTCTCTAAAGTTCAGTAAACTTTTTGTAGTGAAATACCAGGTTTTTCCCTTCCCTGCAGGCAAATTATGCATAGATGGCCATTCACTTTAAAAAAATTGTGCAAATATATTTCAATAAATGGACTATGCTCCCCACTTAAATTAAAAAGTTGACATGACAAATAGATGAAAACAGGAATCCTCATTAACACTTCTGGTAACCTTAGCCCAGCCGTACTTTCACTCATCAAGCTGTCCTTCACATCCAAAAAGCTGAAGTGAGAAATGCTCAATAGGACCTACACACTTTCTAAGAGGCATTATTTCCACAGTAAGTAGGAAGATCAGAGTCTTGTTTAACTTTGAAAATTTATTCTATTAACAAACAAGACATTATTTCGTACCCAAGAAATCGTCCTCTAATCTGGAGATGCAGCAGTTTCCAAACTTTTTCCATTTTGACCTGTTTCAAGGGAGTAATCCTTGAAACCAACCAAAACCAACATTGCAAAACAGTAGCACGGAGCTGTCAAGAACATATTATCCAACCAAAGTGCCTTCAGATCCTGCTAACAGCTTTGGAAACTACTCAAGTACAAAAAACGACCATTCACGTAGAGAAAGCATTTCCAAATAGCAGATAATATGGCAAAGTGGCAAAAAAGCATCACTGTGTGAAAAATCAAAATAAATTATTCACATAAATCATTAACAATATTGTTGGCTCTTCATATACTGTACAGGAAAGATATAAAAGGACATTAATGTTTAAAGAGGCAATAAGCAGCGTAAGAGAATAATGAAGACTAATAGGACTTGTAGTGCAAAAGCTCCCAAAGGCCCTGTTCTGGATGGGAGTCCCACAGTGCTATGTACAGCAACAAAGATGAGTCCCCATCTCAGAAACCACACACCCCAAAGGCAATTAAACTAAAATAAAATTAACTAGGATATTAATCTGATGTGTGTAATAGCTCTGTTTTTTAGATGCGGTATGTTTTTGGAGTCTGTATTACCACTTCAGCCTAGAGAAAGAGAGGATTACAATCCTCTTTTGACAACCTGATTCAGGAACAGTAAAGGGATGCTAAAGAAGAGAAAAAAAAAAAATCACCCTCTCAATCATGAAGCACTTGCTCACACAAATGCTGCTGATCCTCCAGAAGGGGAAAAAAGACTGCTCTCCTGTTTAAGTAGTAAAAAGCAGTTTCCTCAATTATATAAGCTCCCCACCCCTCCACCCCCACCCCTTTTTTTTAAGAAGCTGGAACTGGGTGTTTAATGTCTATAAAATTCATTTCAATCTATGAAGAAATTTTCAGATTCCTTTTCCGTGAAAATATTAGCCTTCCATTTGCATTATGTGTCCTTTATAAAACACACATTTTAAGAGAACGTTGCAAGAAAAATGGCTGGAAGTCTTCCCAGAAACTACTGCATTATATATCCTTACTGTAATTCAGGAGAAAAAGATACTGTACTTTATTCTAGACTGGGAGACAGAAAAGAAGAAATCATTGTGGATTCAGCATTTGCTATCTAAATACCAGAAATGCTTTTTATGCAGTAGGAATGTCCCTTTTAAAACACATATAAAATTCTTTATCAAATTGAAACAATTTAATCAATTACCAACAAGTTTTCTGTTCACTTTTGCCAAGTTGGAGGTCAAAGAGAGACTATAATCACAGTTCATTTGCAAAGTGATTAACATCAATGCATGAACTTATGCAAATACTTGGTCAAAAAAAGTAGTAAGAGGAACCTTGTTCTCCAATAATCAATACAGTAACAATGTAGAAAAGTCTATTATGGTTATAGGCACTGATAGAAAAAGGAACCCAAAACAACTTCGTAAGAACGGCCTTGACATGCATGCCGTTTAAAGATGCAAATACAGTAACAATTACAGATTGTGCTTTCAGGATCGCTCCACTTTTAAAAGCTCTAAATATGAGCATTTCTAAAATCCCAGCATTCAACATTAAATACTGAAAATTAAGTTAATACACCCTACTCATCCTTAATCCAGTAATACCTTTAAGACCCGATGCACCTAATTGCAAAGCACTGCTGTAGCTAACGATTATCCCAAGCCAGATAGATCCTAAGAAATCCCTTAAGCCCCCTCCTTCCAGAGGGATGAAGCACGACCTGAAAGTAACAACATATGGAAAATGCATGAGAAAGTAGCAGCCTAACAGAGATACTAGAAAGCAGGGCAGCATCCAGAAAAATTAAGCTCTTAATAGAAAGCTTCCATTTAAAGGGCATGTAGTGCCAGCTTTTTCAGTGACTGTGAATCATACAGCAGCTAAAGCCTGAATCAAACCCTGTTTACACTGCTTGGAGCTCAGGTGCACTGCACAGAGAGAGCCCAGCGTAGCCAAGAGCCACCTTCAGGCCAAAGCTGATAAAACCGAAAGCCGATTATTTTTTTTTGCTAGGAAGAATAAACACATACAAAAATTACACCTTTTCACGAACAATAAAACAAATAGCAGCAGAAATGGCTCTATGCATACGTGTTTATATGCACAACCTGGTAACATCCACTGGTTGCCTGCAGTCACTGGATGCTAGCGTAGGAGGCACTAGGGCCGAGGCCAGGGACACAGGGTGCTTGCTGCACTCGACCGGACATTCTCAGAGGGCTCTTTCTAATCCATCTCCCCTCGTTTGCTATGACACGTAGCCCTCTCCATTGCCTAAAGCACAATGTGGTGATCTAGTGCCCAGAGAAGCCAGTGGAGCAGATGCGAGGTCAGCATCACAGACCTTCCTAACTCTTCCACTATCCTCTGAAGTTGATCTTTGAGCATAGCCTGAAGAGCAGCTCTGAGCCTGGAAGCCCCAAAAATTTATGCATACCATGCCCCCTACAACTAAACGCCAAATATCCATTAACACCTTTGAGGTACCTTGACTCCCCGGGGCCCTTTCCATCCTCAACATCTGTGTAACCGTACCCATTAACAGCCAAGAGTCAGATTAACCTGCTTAGCACAGCTAACATTAGTGGTAACACTGTAGGAACGTGTTTAAATTTGACTCTGAGTAATTAAACTAAATCATATGTATTTAAAGTGCATTGTTCCAAAGACACTCTCAAATCACTGCAGAGCTGTAGATAATTATGTATAGCAGTCAGCACACTGGAAAAAGAAGATGAGGAAATGTTCCTGACAAAGTGAAGGGAGCTGCTGTGCTCTGAACATAATCTGAAGAAATAATACGGGTGTTGCACAGCACATAACCTATAAATTAAGCTGTCAATAAAAAGAGAGAAAGAATAGGGAAAATAAAAGCAAAAGAAGAAAAATAGCTATTTCTTCAAATGAAGCTCAGCTGCTGAATTCCTTTCTATAAATCTAATTGTATGTATTTTAAAATCCAAGATTACTTTGTTCTAAACATTATTTCCTAGATGTCAAAATCAGCACAGAGGACCATGTATTCCTTGATACAGACTTGACAGGCTACTGTATTACACTTTTTATGCTTACTGGTATGCTACAACACTTCATTTATGAAAAAACAAAGCTGTGTAAAAACAAAGTTGTATCTGTAGCATATTTTCATGAAACATTGTTTGGCAGCTAATAGCCCCTAAAAAGGAAAAAAAATGGCAGGGAAAGGGTTCTACCGAAAATGACTAATGAGGAAGAGAAAGGAAAGGGTAGCATGTGAATCTGCAGCAAAATAAAATGTAACTATTGATCTCTGCAATCGGTAGCAGGTTGTCTTCCAGATCGCAGGTACTTTTACAGTTATACAAACGTCCTTGCTTGCTCAACAGTGAAGGTCTTAAAACAATTGACCTGATTTTTTTTCTTCTTTTTTTGCAGGGGTTGGGGGCTCCTATTCAATTTGTATATTGGGTAGCAATTAAAAAGAAAAAACCACCGAAACACAGTAAATAATGAATGATGTTATAACAGAAAATTACAGCATTAGCATAAGTAGAATAAGCAAACCTACAGCAGCACAGCAGATTAATGACAGTTACATCAATATGAAATTTGGTAAAAGACAGTTTTAAAACGCTCTTACACAACAGAAAATCCAAAAAAGCAGAAGGCTCTTACAATGCTGACCTTATACACACAAAATGAACTACAGGAAAAGCTACTGAGAGATGTATGCATCTTACCCGTGAGCACAGCTTTTGCTGAAGGGTCTGCCAGATCCAGCGCGGATTTCCCATCGGTGTTCCGAATGTTTGGATCAGCTCCGTGCTGCAGCAGCACTGTGCAGGGAAAGCAGAAACAGTATCTTACCTCAGGGATACAGAGATTATTTACTGTTAAGTGTCTCCTCGGCATGATGTAGGCATAAACACACATTGCACAATTTTCTTTATTTTTCCTTCTGGGGTTTTTTCCTCTTTTTTTTCCCCCCTCTTTTTTTTTTTTTTTTTTTTTTTTTTTAAGCACTGCAGCAAAGGATCTTCTCCGGAGTAAGGCTAAGTTGGCAAGTTAAGATATAGTAAGATCACACGACTTCGCATGGTAAACATGAACCCTGAATCTCTTGCAATACTCAGTTTTGGGTTCCTCCTGACAGCTAGCTGGGAGGCTGTGCATTCACTGACTCACACTGGGAAATCTGCTGTGGAACCTGCTCCTGCCTTTACTACCACTACTGCTGCTTGTTACCAGTCCTGTTCCTTTTCCTGCCGAACATCCCAAGTCACCCCGCCTCTGTAAATCAGTAATACTCCAGCCTTTCAGCAGCTCATCACTTGCACACAAAATCTTAACCACAGCACACCGGCTCACCTTCAAGAAGTGTAACAAATAGGGTAAGATGTGTAACCTGGTACCCTGCAGTCTGGATGTTCAGAGACTGTTATTCTCAGTGGTATTTCTTTTCCCTACTAAGCCTATTAACACACAAAAAATTCAAGTACATAAAAACACTTAGAATGCAATATGCAACCACATGACTAGAAAGGCATTGATACAGTAAATTACAATTTAGAAAAGCTCATAAAAAAAAAAGGAAAACACCATTTCACCTGTAAACTCTTTTGATCAGAAACAACATAACAACAGTGCAATTCAGACCACCCCTTCTCAAGATCAAGGCATTTTCTACTGAATTGGAAAACAAAGTCCACGGCAGCATTAGAGATCAGACAAAAAGGGCCCCAATTCTCCATTTCCCCAAATGTTGTGCAAAACATATTACACATATATTAATGTGTAATGTTGTGCACAACATATTACAAATCCAGAGTGACAGTTACACACTTACTTTGTACAAGTGGGAATAACAGGACAGTATACAGAAGTGCAGAGACTCAACGTCAAGGAAACAAGTAATAAAAAGCAGCAGACATTTATGGTTGTTCATGTAAATATGTCTGTTCAGATAAAGTTGGACTGAAGGAGCCAAGACAAGAAATACTTGCAAACACTTTTTGTAACTAAGGGTGCAAAAACCCTTGACAGACAGGATTCTCCAGGGAAAAACATATGTAATTACTTTTGTTCTGGATTGGGTTATACCACTTTAATCAGCAAAATGTTTTTCAGAAATAAACTTTTTTCTTAATTAAAATTTTAACGGGTAGTGTTGTTTTTATTCAAGTCTCTTTTCTTATACAATCCTGATTTTAAATGCTTTTAACATTGACAAATTTCATATATTTCAGCTTACAGGAAACTATGCTACATGCTTGCCCTAAGCTGAACAATTGCAGAAGCTTGGTGCTTTGATGAAGTAAATTGACTTATTTTATGCTTTGCCAAGATGGTGCAATTGGCCCATGTTTGTGAAAGAAGATTCAAGTAGGCAGATTGGGCTTTTCCTAGGAGGTTTTTTGTTTGGTGATGTTTTTCTTCCTTATGTCAAGACGAAGACACCAAAATGGAAAAAATAATTCAGCTAGCACGTGCTCACAGAAGCTTGTTAAGATCTAGCACCTACGTTTCCGAAGATACCACACACGCTACCGCTCCCTTAGAGATCTTACTCAAGGGTACGTTTGACTCTGAGCCAGCCTCACAAGCCAGTCAAGCACACTCCAGCAGGAGGTGGTGAACAGGACTTTTTGCAGATTTTTTGTAAACATAGTAGGCAGTACAGAAAGTAAGTATGGAATGGCACATTCAGTATGTCCTGTCTCTATTCTCTTGGACCCTGCTAGTAAATCTATATTCTGGAGGAGAGAGAAGCCATTTGTCCCAAAGGCATCAGGGTAAGAGCGGGATGCTGTAAGAGGGAACTGGCAACTAAGCGTCCATCAAGAGAAAGCAGGCAGTACAAAATGGTGAAACAGCACAGACTGGATGAGAAGACAGTGAAGCATTCACATGGCAAAAAGCCTGAGACAAAGAGCTAGGGGAGAGAACTGAACAAGAAGATGTGGCAAGGGAAGAGATAATAGCTCAAATAAAAACTCCAGGAAGAAAGACAAGGAGAGAGGAACGACTGGGATTTGACCGCAGTTTGGAGGTTTGGACTAGCATGCAAAGCCAAGCTGAGGCAAGTTAGGGTGCAAGAAAGATGACTTTGAAAAATGAGAGTTAACAGGTATAGAGATGTCAAAGGGATCCACAACTGCCTGAGCCCAATGCTGCATTAGAAGAACAGATTTTTCAAGTCTCTTAATTCTTCAGTCCTGTGCAAACCAACTAGAGCATTCCCCTGCTACTTCTGCTGGCACACACAGAGGATGACAACACAGTACTCCTTTCAGCTCCTCTCCTGGCTAAAATAACAAAGGATTATCCAGTGTATCTAACCTGTTCAGTCATGCTAATGAACCATGAAGGGTTCTGGCATGGCTTATAACATACAATTTCTGTGTCAGGATTTTAGTTTTTTTAAAAACCTAGGGAAATACATTAAAAATCCACTAATCGTGCTTAAGGCAGTTGCCTGCAAAACCCCTGAATTAGTGACTGACTGACTGTGGAACATGCACTTGAAGTGGCCAAAGCAGGTTCAGGAAAAGAACCTGCCAGAACTCAATTGCTGTAACCATAGGACTTATCCTTCTTGTCTCTACACTCATTCCACTCATCATAACCCTTCCAGCCACTCCACCAGCCAAAGGGTATGGCCCTGCAGACAGCCCCCTTAGTCAGTCCTACAGACAGAGCTACCCTGTGAAATGAATGCATTAGCATCTTGGGAAAAGAAACCCATCATATAAATAAGGGCTGTATTAGAATGCTGATGAATAAAGGAAGTAAATTCAGGGCACAAAGGCAATCTTATTCTTACATTTCTGCTATTGACTATTTGATTCTATCCCTCTCCACACTTTTTTAGTACATAATCTCACAAAAAGATATCCAAGTGAGCAATGTTGTCATCAACATGAATTAACAAAAGAAATCCGGCATTTGATGTTTAGCCTATTGGTGTAACGCAGCTGTACTTTTATACCCAGCAAACCACAGGTAGCTTCTAATTGAATGTTCTCCTGCTTGTTCAAAACCTTTAATGCTTTAGTCCAACACAAAATCTCTTCTAACCACAGGGTATTTGAGATCTAGACACAGTGTGTCTCTCTAAATTTCCTTTTCAATGCACCAGGGATGTGTAAAAACGTCAAGATAGATCTCCTGTTTGAGAAAAACATTCTCTTTATAATGAAAAACAACAGAACAAGTCATTCTAGCTAACTGTGGTTACTTTGGATTTCAAACCCTGCACACCGATTTTAGAGGATGGTTTGAGTAGTCTGAAAAGCAAATGTGGCAACAGTTTCTATCAAGACACTGCTGTTAACAGGCAAGTGTAAGGATGGTGTGCACGCATATTCACTCCTGGAACCTTGTTAATTAGCATATTTTGATATGCTGGTTTATTTCCCCTGGACAGTAGGGACACTGAGGTGTATTATTTTTCTGTACTGCAGGCAGAGCCCTTCATAATCTAGCAACACCATAACCTGTCTATTCTTGCCTTTCCTACAGACCATATTGTACCAACAGTATAAAGAAGTTGTTCTTCTAATTCAATCTTCATATTGTATATGGACATCAAAGTTCTGTAAGCTTAACTATAGAACAAACATGGACTGTGCGTGGTACAGAATTTTATTTTTACCCTCACTGCAACGGATACAATACAAAAGTTTCTGATCTTCACATACCATCTGAAATCATAGAATGGTTTAGGTTGGAAGGGACCTTGAACATCATCTAGTTCCAACCCCCCTGCCATGGGCAGGGACACCTCCCACTAGACCAGGTTGCTCAAAGCCCCATCCAGCCTGGCCTTGAACACCTCCAGGGATGCGGCATCTACCACCTCCCTGGGCAACCTGATCCAGTGCCTCACCACCCTCACAGTGAAAAATTTCTTCCTAATGTTTAATCTAAACCTGCCACTGCTATTATACCAGATTAGTAGAGAGATAAGAAAGGCCACATTCCTCCCACCAAATAATAAAAAAAAAAAAGTTATGGTATTGCACAGAGCATGAACTACAACCACTAATCGTTTCAGATTACTGCCAACTTGCTACAGCAAGATGAATCCTACAATTAAACACTTGGCCCACAGCTTCTTGGCATAGATATTTTGAACTGTGAAGCTAACCAACACTACCTCATTTGGCTGTGAAGAACAAACATTTTTATTTTTGGCAGTTTCAGCCTTCATATTTTCACCTGAAAAGTATGGCAATAAGTTCCTTGGTAGCTATACAGCAACAAAGGAGAAGTAAGGTTTATTAGAAAAAAAAAAAAAAAGGCAAGCCATCACTCAAGTACTTCCTCCTTCATACTGCCTCAGTTAAATGTGCACCAAAAGAAAACATTTTTGATTGAAAGACAGGAATACAATGGGAATAAAACCCAATCTGCTTGTTCCAATATTAGGCACGATCAAAGATCAGAATATTTCTGTTACAGTTTGTCTAGGCCCACCATCCACAAGCTTCCTGAGTATACTTAAAAGGAACTCTGATGGAAAAGTTCGTATTTGGTTTTAAACCATATGCACATAAGTACAAAAAGGGACACATCCAAACCTTTGACTGCTGAGTGAAAAATGCAAAAACAACAGGCAGACCTTCCAGAAGTATCTGTACTTAAAGCTGCCTACTGCTTTTATTTACATTTCCAGAGTCTTCAGTCCCTCACAGTTCTACCATTGCCTCCTCTCTCCCCATCAGTTCTTTTATCATTCTGTCCCACTGCCTTGTACTCATGGTCCCTTCCAGCCACCCCAGCTTTAGTATATATCCTTTCTTCCTCCTTTTCAACTTCACCTTCCGGAAGTCAC